TCATCGGGTATGCGCGCCGTGCGGGCAATCCGATTGCCTCGTCGTCCTTCGAAATACCATGGCTGGGTCCCGCGACGCATCTTGATCACAGGATTTCGACGACGTGCAGACGATTTTCCTTCCCCTTTCCGTTTTCCACGAAAGAGAATTATCGCAGGGGCTGATTACTCGTGGAGGAGGAATGCTACGTGTATACTACTTGAGAGTGGATATCGATGATAAATGTGGACAATAAGTAGTAGATATAGGATACATTATTTTGTCTGTGTAATTTTTAAGATAATTTATTTAAAGTTCTTTGTATAATTATATATTGTACATTTGATTTTCGTAAATTAAAATTATTATAAAAAAATCTATTGAAGAGATCTTTGTTTGATTATGGAATCTTTTAATAATAAAAAGCAGAAAGTTCAAGACAATGATGGTATTTTATTTTACTCGACAATCGCTACTTTGATATCTTTCTCTCAAAAGGTTAAAATTCTGACGAATTTTAAGTAGTTATCAGGATTTAATGGGATACTGTGTTATCGATAATTTGGTTTATTGATTAATATTGTTAAGATAAAATAATTGCAACTTTTATAGTTTTTTCTTTTTTGAATTTATTAATAAGAGATTTGATAAAGTATACATATTAATTACAAAAATTAGGAAACAAGTTAAACGTTTGATTTTTTAAGTTATCGTTTGAATTTATTAAAATAAATAACAAAAAATAATAACAGAGAAATAACAATATGTTTTACATAAATAATGTACATAAATATGTTTTTTTTTTTTGGAATTGCATAAAAAGCAATTAAGAATAAAGAAATTTACGAATGATTGATTCGTTTCTTAATTATTTCTCAATATATATTTCTATTTATTTTCTTTTTCAAATTGTGTTGAATTTCCTCATATCCATGACAAAACGTAAAAGAAATTTTATAAATCTAATTTTGAAGAAACGAAGACGATAAAGAGAAGTTTAACCGTTTGAAGATCGAGGAACAATTGATATCAATTCGCAGGTTTATCCACAAAGGACTCGTTCAACGATCGATTTCAATTATACATGACACAGCGACAACGTGTTCTACAGCAAACGTAATATGGAGTACCGTACAGTGGCGCCATCGTTCCAACGAGAATCCACTTTCACCCTCGATTTCGAAAAGGAAGAATGACATTTACGAGAGAAACGTTCAACCTATCCACTCGATTTAAAGAAAACGATTATAAAATATATCACAATGTTCTGTTTTTATATTCTAATTCTATATTCATCTTTGACAATCGTAGAGAATGATCAACGAAATAGAAAATTAATACAAAGTTAAAAAGATCGAATTCATTTGCATTGATTCAAGGTTATAAAAAAAAATTTAATATAAATATATCTGTATATGATAAGTAATAATTATTCATTGTAAGAAGTAATAACAAACAAATAATGAAAATAAAATGGATGAAGATTAGAAACTGAAATATTGAATTTTAATTTTATGCTGATATTAAGATAAATTATGAAACTTATTATAAATACATCAGTTAATTTTTCTTTCTTATTTTTTAATCCCAAAAAATTTGAATTAGAAGATGTGATCTTAATTCTGATTATTATTTAATTTCTATTATGGTATAGCTGATTGAAAAAAAATTTTATTAAAATTCTTTCAAAGAATTATATTTCCTTCTCTATAATTAGAACTATATTTCTAAATCCAATGTACAACAATAGTTTATATTATATTTCCTTTTTTTGTGATTCTAGTAAAAAAGAATAAATCCATGTTTAACAATGATTCATATAATTATTGTTTTAATGAGATATGGATTGTACCTATGGATTGCTCTTGTATTTAAAAAGAAAATGATATTTTTAATTAATTAATAAATTTTGTAGTTTAGTTTTGTAATAGTTTTGTAGTATCATTAATTTAATTAAATTAATTATTAATTATTTCTAGTTTTTTTTTAATTTTTCCAAAATTTTTACCGATAGATCTGCTTTTTTTTCAGTGTAAGATCATCAATTATCTCAATGTGACAATATCACACAAATTAATCCAATCCATCATCAATTTTTCCACTCACCTTCTAAACACTACCAACACCAAATCAATTGGTCCAGTAATTATTTCCAACATTGGTGATTATACAAAAATTTCTTTCATTTTCTTTAACCAAAATCAACAACAATACAACAATGCAAATCATCAATCTTTCCACTCATCTTTTAAACCAACACCATCAATATGACATTAGTCACTCGACCATTGTGGGGTGGGGATAACCACACCAATATATCCCTCCATTTCCAATCAAATTTTCACAAATAACATCAAAAATGATCTCCTTACAATTACAATACAATCCAACGATACAAAAATTTCCACGATCCATTATCTTTCCACTCACCTTATAAACACTGTCAACGATCGAGTTACGACCAGTTATATCACTTGACCATTGGAGTGGGGATGACCAATGACGACATTCGTCAAACCTCCAAAAGACAAACCTTGGAAACCGACCACCACAAATCCAACCTCGATCTCGATCTTTCCACTCACCTTCTAAACACCTCCCACGCTCCTCCAACCACCTCCAACAACAGTTCTCCAAAGACTCCCGTTCCAACTAACAACCGTGATGACAATCGTACGCGCACGTATCGAAATTCGGATGCGAGTGGACGCGTGTCGGTTGCGGCCAGGTAGCATCTGGGCACTGGAAACCGGCGTGGATCGGGCCCTCGGCTGGAGCGTAGAAACGAGTTGCTCGAAACGGGTAGAGGAAAGAAGGCGAGCAGGAAGGATGGCGAGAGGAGTCCTTCTTCGGTGGATCTGCCTTCTCTTCTTCTCCTCCTCTTCTTCTTCTTTTCGCGTACGCGCGCCGGAATGTTAATGAGTCGTTGAACAACGAAGGAAACGATCGAATTATTCGCCATCTCTTTGATTTGACGGAGCTTTGACAGGGAAGATGGATAGAAAGAGAGGATAGGATTTGTTGAGTAGGGAAGAGAGAAAGAGAAAGTGGATATTATGGAAAATGTAAATCTACAGAATATATAAAATACGTTTTTGTATCACACTGTCACGAACACCGTATTGTAAGCGAACAACGCCCTCGTGCGTTCTCTTTCGTCTAATAGTGTGCGTCGCACGCCATCTGACTACATTTTCGATAACCAAAAAATCATACGTATGCTTGTAATTCCACGATTCTTTTTATCGCCAACAATAAGAATCGATGCTTGTTCGAGAAGCATTGCTTTTATTCGATCTTCGATAGAGATAAATAGATAGATGGAGAGAGAGAGAAATGTAAGTTTTTCTCGATTCGAACGGGAAGGTTTGGCCACAGTGAAACGCGTATTTTGTCGATCGTTCGAAGATGGATCACGCGAATTATATCGATCGATGCGATATAGAGAGGGTCGTTAGAGGAATTCTGTCGATGCGACAGAAATTCGTTATACGACTTTTTGCTGCGCGCCGATTTTGTGTTGAGATAAGTTGCGTTTCTTCGGAGGAGATTGAAATTAAAATTTTTGATTTGATATTAGTAACTTGGGGGCTTGCCATTCCGAACAGTGTTCAGGTGCATCTTTCTTTTGAGGGGACTGAGGGATGAATTTTAAGTGGGCACGGTTGATTAAGGAGGATTCTTGTAGAACGTTCAAGTAAAATATGTCTCTTTCGAAAGATATGGGAGATACACGATCGTCCACGAAATTCGTGTCACGCTAACGTTCGAGTTACAACAGCGAAGTTCAACGTGAACTTAAGTTCAATTTTTTTTTTAGAACGAATTGTACATCTTAAAAATACAAATAGGAAATAAATCTTATTTACATTTATTTATTAATTTCAAAATGTGGGAACTGAATTGAAATTATTTTGGAAGGAGGTAAAAGAAATGATTTTATTTAAAATTTTCTTTGTCTCGAGTTTCGATAAAGAAAAGATATTTTTAGAAATAAAAAATATATCTTTATTTTTTGAAAAATTTTGTTATACTTGTTATAAGATATATGCACATTAAAAATTGAAAAAAATAATTAAAAATTTAAAATATATAATTAAATAAGTATTTATTTACGAACATGGAAAAGCTTTAACGTGTCCATAGATATATCGTTTCAATTAAATCAATAAATGATTAAATTGATGCAATGGAAATGTAAATTATTTCAAGAGCACATCTGCGCATCTGCATCACATTTATGGTTATTGCAAAAATGAATAATCATTTATCTAATGTTCTAATGTTGATTTTTTTTATCATCAATCGAAAAATATAAATTCCAATAAATTTTTTAAAAAATTCTAAATTTCTAAATACTAAATTCTCAAACCTGTCCATTCCAAATTCTAAATTCTACAATTTCTGAATAATTCGATCCTCGATCCATTTAACGATTCACGTCCAATCGCTCTTAATATTCAACGTCTTAACATCCTCCACTCTCGGCCCCATCAGTACATACAAATAAATCCAATTACCGAACTATCGGGAATATTTTACCATACCAAAATATCCATTTGAAACGCAAGGATACTCTTCTTCCAGATCCCCGATTTGAATATTCTCCTTTAGCTTCTTCCTTTATTCGGCCAATGGATAATTAATGCAACGTTGGAACGAGAAGAAAAGGTGGCTCGATCGCATACGTCCGTCATCCGGAGGCAGACGGACCGAAACGCGTGTCCTCACGTGAGAACCGACTCGTTTCTCGATCGTTCCAGGCTGCTATGTAAATTCTTTCTTCGAGTTATGCGAGATTTACGACCGAACGCTTCGATATCTATGCTATGACGGCTTGGTGACACGACACTAGCGCCATGTGACTATTAACTAAGTATCTTGTATTTTTGTTTAACCGATTTATTTAATTATTCGTTAGAGAAATATTTCTACTGCAGAAATATAGCAAAATGTATATTTTGTTAATTCTTGAAATCGTTTCAAATTAGCTAGTTAATATCTTTTTTACAATACGTTTACTTTTTAATAGTATATTAATGACGCGATACTAGCGCCACGTATTAATTAGTAGATTGCAGATGAAGTAATTGTAGTCTTGATATAATAATAAATTTTTGCATTTATAAATTATTAAAAATAATAAATAAAAAAAAAAGTCTTTATATTATTTTATTTTACTTTAGATGGGTTTCAAATTGTTACATATTAATGAAAATAATACATAAATAACGGGAAAAAAAATCCAAATATTGACAGGAGGATAAAAGTTGAAACTTGAACCGCGATACTGGAACAAAAACGTGACCGTGGATCGAAAAAAGGTGAAACGTTGTCGGAATTGTACGCGTTCCAGGCGACGTTTCGATACGAATTTCCGGAGGCGTTTAACACTGAGAACAGGTTTCTACAAAGTTATCGAGAACAATTTAAACGTTATTGAATCTCAACGATGACAGACGAAGAAGAGAAATCAATGAAAAATTTCGTGTGTTCGTAAAAATACTGAATTTATATAGGATATAACAATTATTAAGCAACTGAACATACATTTTAAAATTATTGGCCGTATTATTAAAAATAAAAAAAGTAAGATAGACGTATAATAAGTAATTAGAATTATATCTCCTCAAATTTTTTAATATTAACGAATATTTATTAAAAATTTTCCAAACAAACTACAATTATGATCTCCTTGTGAGTGATAAACTGAACAAAACACATTAAATTGAATAAAATTATCCTCACGCTTACTAGTCGATAATTTTAAACAGCAGACGATTTATTTATACATTATAACGAGATAATTTAGCGAACATGAACGTGTGGCCATCGAATTGTAATGGTGGAAATCCGCGCTGAAATAGCACGATATTACCGACGCGACTAATTACGGATATCATAGATACCCGCATTATTGACATTAGCCGTAGTTCGATCGTTACATCTATCTTGTTTGCTCGCGATTAGTTTAACTCGTAGCCTGCCACTCGCTATATTCACCCTATGTTCACGTGTGTTTGCGTTATAACAGCGTCAAGTGCACCTCCGTTTCTCTGCTAATGAAACAAATCGAAACGATCTATCTGCGGGACGAATTAGAAAGTTGAGGTTAGGAATAATTGTTGCGGTTCGACGAGTGTATTAATATTTTGAATTGATCCGTGAAAATAATTGGACGCTATTAAAATTGCGATTTGAATGAATGTTTGTGCGTATGTGAAAGATATTTTTGAACAAATGTTAATGAAGTTTTGGAATACACAATTTGGGATACATAATTTTGAATATCTTCGTTATTTTTAAACGCAGATGCAGGTAGATCTATAACATAGTACTGATACTTTTTTTTTTAAATTTTTTTTTTAAATTGCTTGGTCATTTAAAAAATAAAATAGTAAAAGCAATATATTATGCAACGAATGATCTATTTACATCGATGAAATCGTTTAATTGATCAAAATTCTTGAATACAATTATTCCAATTAATACAATATCCAATATATTAAATTTTTTAAACAAAATCAACTAATCGTGAGAACAATCTATAATTACAATGATAAAATCTAAAAGTACGAATCAAAGCATTAAGCAAATTTCCTAATTCAAAAGAAAAAAAAAATCAATTATTAAAAATAAATTAATTAATTAAAAATATATAAGATATAAAAGATATTATTATTTTTCTATGAATATTGTGCTTTCGAAATAAAATAATTTTATTAAATCGCTTAAAATAGGTATTACTAAAATAGAATGAAATCTTTTCATCCCAAAGACGATTCCAAACATTGTTCGACGATTTCTAAATAAATCTTGGAATAGGAAGCGAACCGGAAATTAGTTATTCGATAAGCCCGTTTCAAATATAGAAAAATCAAACGAATGAATTTTTAATTCTCATATTCTTTACAACTATTGACTCCTCGACACACATATACATACATACACACACGCGTTCTTTATTTTAGCTATATATATTTCAAACCCCCCGATAAAAATCACTTTAAATCGAGCGATCCTTAATGATCGAAACCGTTTCTTTTTTCCGTTGCAACGATCGAGAGAGGAGGCCTTCGCTCGATTCCATTCACGTTCCCCAGAAAATTGATCGTTTAACTGCTTCCAGCGTTTTCGAACGGTCCTGCATCAGATTATATATATTTATATTCTTATGTAAGATACGGGGGTAGATAGACGCCAAGAAGATTATACACTATCGTTCAAGAGTTTTGAATAGAATCCTACTGCGTTTGTTGTTTCACATTTAAATTTGTTTTGTTAGATTCTAATCTTTGCAAATTTTACTTGCAAATAACTCAGATTCATTTATATATTAGGTTTGCTTATTTCTAAACAAACTTGCAAATAAATATTCATATTGTTATCATATTTAATCGTTATATTAATGTTTGTCAGTGTCAGTATTATATTAATGTTTATTCGTGTCAGTAAAATAATAAAAAAGAAAAAATGTGAATTGACATTCTACGAATGAATCTGTTAGTCATTGTAATTCTAACTTATAGGATAGAATTGAAAGAAATGGCATGTATAAAGTGCATGTGTCAATAATTTTAATGTAAGGTTTAATTGACAAGAATTAAGTTTGTAAAATATTTACACTCTCTGTAATTGTAATAAGTTTCTACTTTAAACTTTCAATTACGTTTCTAAGAAATAAATGATTTTTCAAGTAACTTAATATTATTTTACAGAAAATAATTAAAAATTATAATAATTCCATTTGAAAAGATTAAATTTAATCTTCATATAAAAACAATTTTTATCAAACACTTTTTTCATTAAAATATATTTCTTTCAAATAAAACATTCAGACACTCTGTACATTTATCCATATTATTTCGACATTTCAAACAAGATATTATTTTAAATGAGATAAATCCAATAAAATACAAAAGATTAAAAAATATTTCAAACAATATGCTCAATATAAATTATCGATAATTAATAATAAATATCTCGATCAAACTTTTGACTAGTACTGTACTACCTGTAATAAA